ATTCTGCATGCTGAACCTTCGATCATTTCCTTGCCAAAGTCTTAAAACACTGGTAGCCAGGCTTAAAACTCCTTAGGACTGAGCTGGAGAGTTCTTCTCTGTGGTAATTTACAATCCAAAGGGAAAAAAATTTAGATACTTTTAATGTACCCTAATGAAAGAGTCGTGTTTACCTGACCATTCTAAAGGAAAGTTTACCTAAGTTCACTAATTCAACAGACATTTAGTGACTATGTAGTAGGCACTATTTTAGGCAATAGTTATGGTGGTGAACAAAACAGACCTGCTTTCTTGGAATTTATATTTTAGTGCTAGAGAAAAACAAAGAACAGTTTAAAAAGATATAAAAATGTATAAAATTAATGCAATGTTTGGTAGTGACAGGACCATGAAGAAAAACAATCGGGCTAAGAGAATGAGCAGGGTAAGAGGAGAAAGAATGATAGGTAAGTTGGGCGTTTGTCATTTAATTACGTGGTCAGGGGAGATCTCTTGAAGATAAATTGCTTAAACCTTCAGTGAAATGAGAAAATATTATGACAAAAAATTTGAAAACTTAAACAAAATGGACAAATTCTTAGAAAAATATAACATCAGAACTGACACAAGAAATAAAAAGTGTGTATAATCTTAAAACTGTTTAAGAAATAGAAGCAGTTAAAGCAAACACACAAAGTAAACACCAGACCCAGATGATTTTATACAGAAGAAAAACAGACCATTCCAATATCACGCAGACTTTTCTTAGACAATATGAAAGAGGAAATAGTAGCCAATTCATTTTTAAGCCAGCATAACCCTGATACTAAAACCAGAGAAAATATTATAAGAATATAACAGACCCATGTCACTCGTAAATAGAAATATAATAATCCTAAATGAAATATTATAAATAAAATCCAATAATGTCTGAAAATAAATACCCTCAACTAATTTTGGTTTATACTAGGAATGTAAGGATCATTTAATATTTTGAAGATCTATAAAAGTGATTCATTAATTCATTATTAGATTAATAGAGTAAATCATATAATCATCTCAAGAAATACAGAAAAAAGCATGTAATAAAGTTAAATACCTATTCATGGTAAAAATTATTTATAAATTATACATAGAAGGGAATATCATTAATTTCATAAAAGCAAACATTAAAGAAAACATAAAATTGACATTATCTTAAATAGGGAACATTAGAAGCATTCCGCTTAATGAGAAATAAGCTAAGGATTTCAACTACTACCATTTTTAATACTCAAAGTATTAGTGTACTTTACCTACCCAGGGCTTAAAACAAAGCAAGAAACCAGAGGCATGAGGATTGGGAAGAAGTAGATAAAGTTGCTATTTTTTTGTAGATGATATTGTTTTTAAATCCAATAGAATGAACAGACAACTTTATTAGAAATAACAGGAGAATAGAGAAATAATAGGAGTGATAATAACAAAGTGACTGGCTAGTAACAAAGTAAGACTAGTATTCAAACTTAGTTGCATTTCTGTTCACCAGAAGCAAACAAAGAGAAAGCATTATCAAAGAGAATTTAAGATAAAACCAGAGTATCAAGTATCTAGAAGGAAATACAAGAAAGCATGTACATTATTTCTAAATGGAAAATTATAAAACTTTAAGAATAGTCAATAAGATCTAAATTAAGGAGAGGCAGGCCATGTTCATGGATAGGAAGATTTAGTATTGTGAAAATGTAATTCTCTCCTGAATTGACCCATAGATTCGATGCAATTTCCAGTCAAAATCCTGAGAGTATTTTGCTGAACTTGATTAAATGATTTAAAATGTATATAGAAGAATAAAAAAGCAAAAACAGGGAGCATATTCCCTAAGAAAAACAGTAAGGAGAGGGACTTGCCTATCTAGACGTTAGGAAGCTATAGTAAATAGACTGTACAGTATTGGTGCAGGGATAGAAACACTCATCACCCAAACGGAATGTATTCCCATTAATGTCTACTATCTACAGAAATCATCAGATTAGTGAGTAAAAAAGGGATTGTTCAATAATTATGATAGAAAAAATAGTTATGTATATGGAAAAAAATGAAATTAGATTTCTCTTCATACCATGTCAAGAAACCAACTCCTGATTTATTACAGGTCTTTTTATAAAAATCGACACTTTCAACTATTGGTAAGAAATCTAAATTAATGTCTTCGGACCTTGGGATAGAAGATTTCTTATGTTAAGAGACAGAAAAGCATTGACTCTAAAAGAAGAGTTTGATAAAAATGAACTATGTTAAAATTAAGAACTTCTGGTCATCAAAGACACATTGAAGAAGTGAAAAGACAAGTTACAACCTGGGAGAAGACATCTGCAATGCACACAGCTTATCAAGGACCAGTATCATGACTACAGAACTTCAATGAAAAAAAGAGCACGAAGAATCCAATAAGACCCAGACAGTCATTTTACAGAAGAGGAAAGAAGGAAGGCTAATAATACCATATGATAGCCATTCAATTAACAAAAAGAAATGGGCAATATCAAGTGTTAGGAAGGTTATGGATCCACAGGATCTCTGAAACTTTGCTAGTAGCCACATAACTTGTTGTAACCATTTTAGAACACAGGCATTATCTTTTAAATGTGAGCATTCATATATTTCCCTAATAATTCCACTCCTACGTGTACATCAAAGAGAAACTCTTGCACACAGACAGTAAAAGATGTACAAGAATGAGTGTGAGCAGAATTGTTTACAAGAGCAAAACCTCTGGAATCCAACGCCCGTCATCAGAAGAGTGGCAGATACATTCACACAGGGGAATATAACATAGCAGTCAAAATCATGGAGTGCCAAAGGTAAAAGTGGGGCGATTTTAATTTCAAAACAAACAAAACAGTTACTCAAGTAATAATAGTTTGTAGCATGGTTCAGCATGAATAATATATGACTTTAATAATGTAAACATTGAAGAGTTATTTGACCCCAAATTGTGAAATAACTATGAAAGGAGAACGGGGTTTGGAATATATGGATATATGTAAGAGAGAGTTAAGTCCCAAATTTCTAGTCAAAAGATGGTCATTTAAAAGTAAATGCTAAGAAGATATGCATTTTACTTAGAGATATGGACGTAAATACCGGAAGAAACAGCCAAGGAGTTAAAAATTATTGTTTCTGGAAAGTGGAACAAGGATAGAGAGGGATGGGACAGGGGCCTGCTACTTTTATTTTGTGTTTATTATACTTCACAGTTATTAATTCTATTTTACTTTTACAGCCACATATATGTATGTATGTATGCATATATGTATGCACGTAGGTATGCACGCATAGGTATGTGTGTATGTATATATCTATACCTATCTAACTTTTATTTAAAAGACAAAAATCTCCCTTTTGAATTGGAGAGATAAGACATTGCTGAGCAGAGAAATGGAGTTTCTAGAAGAAAACTTTTTGGCACTTTGGAGAATATTAGAGAGCAGTAGCAGAGATCTATATGACTATATGGTCCAATCCCTTCATTTTATAAAAATGAAGAAACTGGAAGCATGATAAAAGTAAGTAAATTGTTAAAGTCTCAAAATAAGAAACTGACTAGGACCAATCAATCCTCAGGCCTTCAGGTCCCCAAAGCTCTTCCTGCCACATCCCACTGGGAGGGGAAACAGGAACTTCTATAGCAAAGGGAAAGGTCACTTCCAGCTCTGCAATGACACAGAAAAAGGGCGAAGGAATGCCATGAGCCAGCTGGTACCCAGCTGAGGAAGACAGGCCTTACTTGGCACGGCCAAATGGCAGCTCCCGTCTTGACATACTAACCACCTACGCTGACTCCTGAATATGCACATATGGGAGCGTATGCGTGCTTTCTGATTTTTGCTGATTTGGATAAATCTCTAAGGATCAGACTCAAGTACATGGTTTATTGAAAGCTCTGCTCAGAAATAGATATTAAAGTGTCTAAATCTGGGCCTCACATGAAGGAGAGAGTGGAAGTCTGTTGGCCAAATGAATGCATGAATACTATCATGTGTCTCTCACACCTGGCTTAACATGGTAACTATACCTAGTATTTACATTGGGAGTACTTGTCTTAAAGAGCCCAAAGGAAGACACAGTCATTCTGACAGAAAGAGACATTTGGGGAGGCATCTAAAGAATGCTGATGGGTCATCGGTTACAACCATCTTTATTAAAACAAAGTTCAATGTGCTTTATAACTTGGAATACCGATATACATAATAGCTCATTTTCAGACTATCTAAGCAAAGTATGACCTATGAATTGGCAGCATGGACACCTGCTGTTAGAAATACAGAATCTTGAACCCCACCCAGGCCTACTGATTAAAATCAGCATTTTAACAAAATCTCCAGGTGATTTGCATGCACATTAAAGTTTGAGAGGCTCTGGTCTACAAACCTGTTTTCTAGGTAAAACTATAATTTTAATATATTTTATTTAGAATTAGAAGCTATGCAAATAGCCAATGATATCCTAGAATAAATATCAATAAATGAGCAATGATATCTTGAAATAAATTAAGATAAAGAAAAACCACTTGAAGGACAGGTTAAGTTCTATAATAAACATTAAATGATCAAAGTGGGAATTGTATTTCTCAGTTACCAGTATTCATTGCAATCAAATGTATCAGGGGTGTGATGCTGGATGCTTTGGGACTGCTTAATGGGAAATCTGGTGGTCTGCCACACTTCTCTAAGCATCAGCCAGCTGGCTTTAGAGTGTGCCTTGATCCCCCCATCGCAAAGCAAAATCAGTACTATGTCTGGAAAAAAATAAAATATAGAAATCTGACCTCAAGTGGCTGGGTAAATGGGCCAAAAGAACCCCACAACTAAAACCCAGAAAACGAGCCCCAGAAACAGGTGGGGAGAGGCCTGTCCAGACTCCAAATAAAGGTGATAGTATTATGAAAAAAAAAAATAGTCAAAGATTTATTAAATATGTAGTCAGATGACAAAATCCATTAGGTACATATCAGAAAATCAATTCAAAAGAACACTCACCGAGAGGAAAGGCTTGGCTTCCCACTTTTGCTACAGCTGGTATAAATTCCTGGGCCATCATCAAAGAAGCTCCCGAGTGCCAACTTCTGTCGAATAGATTCTCTCTCATTTTTCTGTGCCTAAAATTTCAAGAAAATAAAAATTGCTGATAAGTGGGCAGATATATCACAACCATAGGCAGTCTAACTGCTAAGTTTCTTAGAATTGTAACCTTAGACAAAAAGTAAATAAATAGGCTGCAGCACAAGAGCATTTAAATTATTAAGAGCTGAAATTAAACCAGTCTCTCCTGGTTCCACCTCTGTGAGCAATTTCAATTCTCCAGAGCCCTTTACGATAGTCTAGGAAACCATCACTGTGGTACTAAATGATCTTCACCAGGATAGAACCAGATTACTTGGTGCTGTGATCTTTCTTCTTCTTACCTGCTAGATATGACAGAGTAAAGCTGTGGAGGGCAAGCACTTTGTCCTAAATCAAATAGCTTTTATCCCAACTGGGGCCTTTCCCTGGATCCTGTCCTCTCTCTTCTTTATAGCATCCTTTCAGCCCACTTTCTCTATGGCAAGAACATTAAATCATTCCCTCAACATGCACTGCACCTCTATGGGACAGTGCCACACTATAATGTTGGAATAGAGCCCTAGAGAGACAGACATAGCCCCTGCTGCCACCCAGCTTTCAGTCTTGATGGGGACAACTGTTTCTGTTCAAGTTTACTGATCTCACCAGGTTTAGACTATGAGAAACATATTGTTTGGAATAGCTGGAGAATTCTAATTGAACCCATCTGTTTCATATTTTGAAGGGAAGTCGGGTCGGTGTGCATAGGAAAGAATTTGGTAAACTACACTACTGCGATAATTTGGATATGTTTACAACATTACAACACTTGCCTTCCGATGAAAGTCCCATAAAAACTCACCATGCTGAACTTTTAAACCCTTTAAACAACAGGAGAGAAGATCGAGAATGATTTCCTTAGTTAAAAATAAAACAACTACAAAAAAAAAACCATAATGAGTTAGAAATCCTAGAGTGAGAATGAGATTTTGGTTTCCTGTTTTGTGGGCTTGTAAAAGCTGTGGAAGCACGATTTCATGTTCTGAGCAGGCAGATGAAGACTACACTGAGCAAGTTATGCTTCAAAACCCTTCTCACGTGATTGGGTGTGGCTACCAAAGGCATGATGGCCCCTGATTCTCTCAGTAGGAGGTTCTGGAGCCACATCTGCTGCCACCAGTACCAGAAGTTACAGTGAAAGCTCTGAGGCATGATCTGAGCATCACTATGCCAGAGTGACAGAATGCACAACCTGTTGGAAGGGCGGACTGAAAAATGGCTTAATTTCATGCCCAAGTGCAGGGCATTATACTATAGGTGAAGCCTGCTCTGCCTAACATGGTAGTTACTAGTCACATGTGGCTATTTACATTCAAATTAAAAATTAAAGTAAAAAATCATTTGTTTAGTCATACTAGATGCATTTCAAGAGTTCCGGCTAGTGGATCCTGTATTGGACAGCACAGAATAAAAGATATGATAGTGCCATACCGCTTAAGCCAATGGTTCCCGATTGACAGCCTGTTGACTGCTGGGAACCTTAATTAAAGCAACACACCCTTCCACACATGCAGGACTGGGATTTGTGATGGTCCTGCCAAAACAGAACCACATCACTTGACATCTTTATTTCAAATTAATACATTTCCGATTCCCCAAATCTGCCATGCAGATTGAATGTAGTCAGCGAACCTATTTCTCAATTCATGTAACAGACAAAGGAGATTCTCGATGCCCTTCACAGTCAGAAAACTGTTGCGTGGAATTGAACATCCAACTAATGAAATCAGTATATAACAACGTGAGTGTTAATGACTAATGTTCGACAACACGCTGGTGTCCAATATTAGCCTGAGATCTGGAAAAGGTTTTATTTAGAGAAAACACCTATTCCCAGTGTGAATATGTGAATATACCCTTGATTCTGTGTCTGTCTTTCCTGATTTATTCAGTAGAGCTATAGATATTGAAGGCCTTAAAAATATTTCTATTTACATTAAAATATTTCTATTTACATTACAATTCTTTACCTGAATACTTCATTAACAGTTTAATGAGGACTATTTTATAATACACAATCTTTACCCCTTTTCTGTCCCTCTTCCCCCATCCCATTGACCAAATTAAGTATAAATAATAGAAATACCACCCCTAATACCACCACTTAAACACAGATGACTAACATTTTGGTATATTTCTTTCTAGTTTTTTATCTCATATAATTTTTTTCTTTTCATAAAATTAAGATCATATTGTTTACTATATTTTGATAATTTCCCTCTGATGCAGGACAGGGCAAATTTCCTCAAGCTGGGGGTGGGGGTGGCTGCATTGAGAGAAGAGGGGTGGGGGATGCCAAGCCCTGCACTGAGAGGAGAGGGTCCTTTGGCAGATAGTGTAGAAAGAATTCAACACAGACGTCAAGTTAGAGTCAAAGGGAAAGTTTATTAGAAAAGGGGTAACACTCCAGAGTGTGGTCTCCTCTCAGAGGCAGAGTGAGAGGGACAGTGAGAGACAAAGGAACTGAGAGGGACCCTGTGTGTTCAGGGAATTCAGTTTATGTCAGTCTGTAGTTCCCGTTTCCTTTGATATGTACATATAGTGAGGAAGGGGAAGAGTATGTAGTGTAAAAAGGTAAGAATATGTAGAGTGAAAGGCCTGCTGGCAGTTCTCAGCCCTTAATCTATAGGTTCCCCACGGTTTAGCCATAGGGAATGACTCTTGGTACCTGTTTCTCCTTCACAGGTGTGGCGGAATGGGTTGTTAGCAATCCCAGCAGAAATCTTCCTTTGTTCTGAAGGCGTCCTCCTGGCCCGGCTGCATGGCTGATCATATTGCAGTCTCTGATTGTGGCTTGATTTTAATTCTCTTGCCTCCTCCCTACATTACCTCACACCAGTTAAAATGCTTTAAAAACAATTTTTAATGCCGTATATAATTATATCCTATGGAGTTACCTTCTATTGTTAGCCATTGGGCTGTATCCAATTAAGAATAACATAGAAGTTCGCATTTCTACATAAATTCCTGCCCACATGTCTGATTACTTCCTCAGGATAAGTTCCTGGAAGTGGAATTATCAGATCAGCTGGGTGTGAACATTTGTTGAGGCTCTTGACACATTCTGTCACTTTGCTCTAGAGAAATCTGTTCCAATTTACATGCCCACCAGCAACATAAAAGAGTGCAGCTTTCACTACAACCTGGCGAACACTGAGTATTTTCACTTAAAAAAAAAAGTTGTCATTTTTAATTAGATAGGCAAAATGCGTTTTTAATTTTAATTTCTTTGATTACCAGGGGGATTAAATATTTACATATTTTTAGTTGCTGTACTTGCTTTTCTCTGAATTATTTACTCTCAGCTTTACTTATTTTTCTATAAAGGTCTGAGAGTTTTGAAAATTTTATATTAAGGGTGTTTAGTCCTTTCGCATTTTAAATCTGTTATGTAGTTAAAAGTCAATAGCTTGCTTCCTCTGGCCTGTCCTTGATGACTTTGTGCTTGGAAAGCCCTTCTCGGCCCAAAGGTAAAGGATCTCACTTGATATTGGAGGATTAAATGAGAGAATTTACGTAAATTCCTTAGCAGCAGTACCTGGCCCATGCTATTGTAAATCGATGAATGGTCGCTATTATGATTAATCCTCCAACAATTCCTGCTTTGAAGGTAAAGGAATGCAGGGTGATGAAAGGTTATCTCACTGACATAGAAGAGCCAGGATTCAAGTCCATCTTTTTGGTGCTAGATCTTTCTACTTTTCCACACTGACGAGTAATGTGTCCAGGCTAAAAATGGTGGACACCACGTAGAGGATTCAATGTGAGACTTAAAGAGTTAGGGATCTACTTTTTACTGAGATGAATGTGATGCTTTCTCAGAAAAGGAGAAAATCCTGGACTGCAAAGTGTATACCAAGGCCTAATCATAACCACAAACATTCACAATGCAAATATCTTGTCAGAGCCACTGTCCTTGACACCACTGCTCAAGTGTCCTTTTGAAACAAATGTGATTCCTAACATTTCAAGTAATTATGACTCAACTGACTAGTGAAATAGTTTTTCTCTTAAAATTCAACAATTGAAACCTAATTTCCTTTTGGTTGCCCACATGAGTAGGTTTCAAAATTCTTTTTTTCTCTAAGGAATTATACCTGCAGGGCAATTATGTCCTCCAACCCTCCGAAGCCCAAAGATGCTCCAGGGTGAGGAACAGTGAAATGTACAGGAAAAGTGAGAGGCTGACTCAAAACCACATTGTTTGGCTGCCATTACAACAAGGGGAGTCCCATCCACTCCTAAAATGGCCTCGGGAAATATCCTCATAAGCCAAAAGAAAAACATCTAAAGTCATTATTACTAGCAAAAAGCAAAAGGACAACTGAGCAACAGTGGTTCATCACTATGAGAGAGAAAAGCCATTTGAGACCAAGAGGAGACCAAAAACGTGCTTAGAAACTCACCACTGCCCAGCCACAGGCAGTTTTTTTCCTAGCGGATAGCAGAATTCCCTACTGCCACACCCTGTATCCAGGCAGATAAGGCTCACAATGGCTTTTGAGGGAGCCGTGAGAGCCACGATCTCAGAAAACAGGCAGCCTCAGAAAACAGACAGCCGAGCACTTTCAGACCCGAACACTGGTCCTGGGCCTTGCCCATTGCGTCCCTCTTCTGCTGCAAATGCCCAAATTTGACAAGAACAAATAGGGTATTTGGTAAAGAAATAAAAAACAAAACGTTCTGCTTGGGTAGATATTGTCCACCTCTAAATCTAGTATGTCCTTAAGTCCTTTCCATGCCTTCTTCAGGATGTGGCATGTACCCATCCTTTAAACAGGTCTTGCCTTTGGTCCTGCCTTTGTCTTTCTGGCTCAATTCACTTTGCCGGCAGTATCATGACATATCTGGGCTCTGAAGCAGGAGTTGCCTTGTCTTTCACATGCTAATTTGCACATAAATTTATAAGCGGAAGATTGGGTATGTTCTGTGTAGGAGTTTGGAATGAACTACCCCAAGATGTATATCAGTGGTTCGCAGATTACTTCGAGCTAAA